GTTGAGAACCACTGCTTTAAAGCAATGATATGACCTTCCACCCTCAGTGGAGTGGCAGTACTTACAACTAAAACACTTGCTAACGTTATCAGTTTGGTCCAGATGCCCCAGGATTGCCAGAGGAAAATTTGTAAATGCTTCATAAATTCCCCAGGCCCGTGTCCACTATGTATACTTTACTGAGAAAGAGCAACTCCATTAGTCTGGAGTTCTTTGTGAAAATGTGGGAAGCCCTTAAAAGAACTCCAGTGGCAGAGCATATTATGGAATGTTAAAAACACTTCTGCAGATCTCAGACTACACCTAATACAGCAAAAGATTCTATTCAAAATGTAGTGGACGCTATAGAGGTTGTGCGAGACAGGGGCCTCGTGCTCTGCTGGTTGTTGGCGCTGCAGTAAAGAAAAAGGAACCCTGATGCATATGCTGTGGCTACTGTCCAACAGTCAGACAGCTGTGGAAAGAGGTGGACACAGGGCTGAAAGTAGTGCTTGGCCGCAGCCATAGGCAATGCGTGGGGGGGGGGGAAATGTGGGGTCAAGTGCCCCCCAGGTTGCTGCTCGGCCTGCCAGTGTAGTTGGAGGGAGAGGGGCTCTGTCCTTCTCCCGCTGCACCTGCTCCCCGGCACCCTCGGCCCGTCCCTGTCAGCAGGGAGTAGAAGGAGTGGAACTAGTCACATCTCCCGCTGGCTGCTCTGGGTTGATGCTCTGTGCAGCAGGGCAGCTGCCTGAGAGAGCCAGGCTGGGAAGGTGGCAGGGGCGGCCACCCCCTGCCTGGACTCAGCTGCTGGGGATGGGGACCCTGCAAGCCGGAGTCCACTCTCCCCCTGGCACATTTCTAGCTCACTCATCCCCTGTCCCCAGCAGCCAGGACCTGGCATGGAGCAGGCAACCCCTACCATCTCCCCAGCCAGGCTGTCTCAGGCAGATGCTGTGCTGAACAGAGCAGCGACCTGGAGCGGCGGCCTTCAGCTGCATGAGAAGTGGCTCCGTTCCACTCCCTGCCCAGGCCCTGCTGCCAGGGAGAGCGGCCGAGCATGCCGGGGCTGAGGCACAGTGGGAGAAGGACAGAGCCCTCCCTCCCCCCGGCTGGTAACATTGGGTGGGGAGAGTGCAGCAGCCCCGGGCTGGGCACAGGACAGGCTGGGCAAAGGAGACATGTGGGGCAGTCATGTGTCCTCCCCTTTAGATTGGGCCCCCCGAATATAGGGAGGCACGAGTCATCTATGGTCAGCAATCAAACCTCAGCTGAAAATTATATTCTAGGTTATGTACCTACTACACCAGGTTTGCCCCACCACAAAGACTTTGGTGCTTGAGGGCCGCAATGATGCCTTAGTGCAAGATTTTACAAAAATAGAGGGGTTTGCTTATGCCCAGAATAGAGCAGCAGTATTCAGACCTGTCTGCATTCTCAGCGGAAGAAAGAACAGCTTATCAATGTAGAGAGCAATTATGTAATTCAAAGAAATTTGGACGCTGTTTCTTGATACATTTGAATAAAGAATGCAGAGGTAGTTCAAACAAAGCCAAACTTCCACTCCACCTGACCTCTCTCCTTTTCCCTCTTCCCACCTTTCTAGTCCCCTACTTCCTTTTGGTGCCTATTTGTGTATGTCTTTTATTGTTGTTGTTGTTACCCTCACCCTAACATGCTGTGGCTGTGCAAAATTGCCTGATTTTGTATTATCCGGTCTTACAGTTTTGACAAGTTGGAAAGTTGTGTAATTGCATAACTTTATTGGATATCCTGAGAAATGTGTGGTACCTTGTAACATAGACAAGCTGTAAGTCATTTATCTTTTTGTATGTCATTATTTGTTTATGAAAAGTAATAAATTAATCACATCCTCCCCCACCCCCGAAAAAAACAACAACAACTGTAGTCACTTTTAACCTGGACAGGATACTTTCAAATTCTAAAAAACAGGGCTTTGTGACTGGAGGGCATATTTGCTGGCCCTCTTGAACCAACTGCAGCGTTAAAACCAATTGAAGAGACTCATATGTATGTGAGAAATATCCACTCTGGTTCCACAAACAGAGAAGAGGGGGACAGTTCAAATCACACTGTCCATGAAAAGGCTGTTGAGATTTGGGACATAGATCTGTGAATTTTCCTGGCTTCTCTTTACCCTGTAGAAAACTGTAAATCATTATGGGTGAAGAGAACTTTGGACAAGCTTTGTTGGAGAAGCTTCTATGAGACCTGGTGGTCTAATATTTGTGACACCAATCGTTCTATTAACTTTCCAATATTGTTCATATAAAATATCTGTCAAATATTTTTTCCATTATCTGTCTAGCTCAAGTTAGAACCTTTGCTGCTCAGAATTAGTTATGCACAGTATAACCACACCCAAGCTTGCTTCAGTGGACATCTCCTATAAAAACAGGATAAGAAAATCTCCATTCGTGTGTTACAATATGTAGAAACTGCCTGTTTCCCTTTGAACAAGTTCCCTTTGCACGAATACTGGAAAAATAATAATGAGCACAGCTCCTAAATTTATTAAAAACATGCAAAATGAAATCTGATAACCAAGCTAATGGCATGAATTCATCTTGATTCAGAGTAAAACTGCTGCAAATGAGTTGGTTGACATTGCTCAATAGTAAGAAACTTTTTTTTTAAAGAGCTGATCAGGAACCAATTATTTTTCCCATGAAACATTTTGAGAAGAACACTTTCTTGCTTGTTTTCAGCAAAAAGTTTCAGTCACTGAAAACCCAAAGAAATTTGGTGCTCGTTTTCCATTTTTTTCCAACCAAAAACCACTTTTTCACGAAAGTTGATTTTTTTTTCATGAAAATTGCTATTGAATCAAAAAGCCATTTTCCTTCAAAAATGTGTTTCAATTGACATTTTTCAAATAATTTCTGCTTTGAATACCTGATAACTACAGTCTCTGGCTGTCCATCATGTTCCTGGCCTTAATTTCCACTTCCAGTTTCTTCTTATGTAGGTTCATATTTAGGATTTTTCTGACATTTTTAGTTTCTTGCAAAAATGCCAAACATTCTGTTCTGTAACCCACCTGAGTGCTACTTGAAAAGCAAGTATTAAGTTTGCTCATTTTCAGGTTCCATATTTTGCCCTAGATGATCAGACACTTTGGATTCACACAAACTGGTGGTTCTGGAAACATTTCTTAGATTGATTTGATTTGACTAAGTGGATTAGGGCCTGATCTGGTCAGATACCATAGTGATGAATGCAGTGCAGGACCAGATTATCCACAGTGGTGGAGAGCACTCAACACAAGTCTAGTCCTAACTGTTTTGCTCCTCAATTTAGTGAATTTGTTTCCCGGTTACTTGTTTAGAGTTTAGAGTGAAATCTGTTTAATATCAGTCACAAGGAAACAATAGTGAAGAATGCTTTGGAATGTCTTTGGTCTCTCTCTTTTCAGCTGTGTATTATAAATTGGCGGATAATAATGATGTTTGTTATTAGATGCTTTACAATAAAATAAACATGAAACAATGCTACATGAAATAAAGCTGCTGTACACTATCAACTCACTGATAAACCACCTTTAGTAATACTACTTGTCTTTTACCACCAAACACAAATAATCCTTTCGGTGCATAAAATATTTATGTCACTTGTAAGATATCCTGGGGGCCAAGTATTCTGACCTTCTCACTTTCCAATCTTACATCTGCATATTCTGCTGCTCAGTAAAATCAAGTTAGACCCAGCCATCTTTGGGACCAAACTGATTGCTCTGTGATGCACCAGTGCAGAGACCTGTGGGTGTGAATGGGGCTATAGTCTATAGCAGGCACCTACCTGCACACCAAACCCCTTGGCTCATGGAGTTGCAGCCTTTGATGATCCTACCTTTACAAGGGGTTCAAGAGCCCGGCGTTTCCTCTCTTATCCCCATAAATTCATAATAGTGAGTTTACCAAATTGGAGGGGGGGGGGAAATCTCTCACCTTTGTAGAATGGACATTTTCTAGCCCCACGGATTTATTTTTGAAACTCCTGAGGACAGTGGGGAACCACGCCAAGGTCTTGAAGCTTTGGACTGAAGCTAATAGCACATAAGAACACCGGACCCCAGCTGACAGCACTCACTCGCACGAGTAATCCTTACTCTCCTGAGTAAAGACTGCAGGATCAGGGCTCTATTTAGCAAAGTCTACTGCAAACCACACAACTATTGAGCGGATGGGGGGCAGACGGATTCCTTCTTTGGGGAGTCACGGCGTGTTTAGAGCCAGAACATAGACACACGTTTGGTGGGAAGGAAGGAAGAAGAGGGAGACTTGCTGTCTCCCCCGTTATTTCTGCGCAGAAAAGGCTGGTCACAGAGACGAAGGCAGGGCTAGCTAAAAAGAGGGGGAGAACAGGAGGAGACCACGCAAACCTTTCCTTTAAATTGCCCTCGTGTCGGGGCAAGGGGCTGCTTTTGTGCGAGGAACTCCTTCTAGTTTTCACTCCCGTTCACTTGCCCCGTATCCACACACTCTACTCGTGGCTACCGATCGTTTCATACAGACACTCCAGTGCCTTGGGTTCTCTCTGCAGGGACGTGCCGTGCGGGAACCGGGAGCGAACCTCAGCCGAGCTGGGCAGAAATGCTCTGTTCTGAGCTCCAGGGGAGGTGGGTGAGCCGCCCTCTCTGCACATCCCGGGCTCGTCTGTGAAACAACCGGTGCTTGGCAAGGCTCGTTCAATCCTCCGCACCCTGCGGCTGCAGGATCTGGGGAGGAAACGGCCCAGAGTGCCGGTTTCCCTGGCCTTTTAGCGCCATGCCCAAACTTCCACATTCCTGATTTCCTTTTCCAAACGCTACCAGGGAGGAGAAGCCTCTCTTTCCATCCCCCTGTCTTCTCCCCCACCCCCGCTTGTGCAAGCCACATTCACACTCCTGGAGCGTATGCGAGATCCTGAACTGTGTGTGTGACATACAGGGGGGTGGGAGACAGAACAGCTGCTGTCCCTTTAAATCTGTTTGTTTGGCATCCGTGCCCCCCCTCCCCCCTTGTTGCACTGCAGCTTTCAATCCCTGAGCGAGCCAAAGGGCTTCCTCTGCAGGAAAGGAAGGGAAATGCCTGTGAGGAGGAGGCGGTGGCGAGCCCTGGCCAGTGCGCTGCGATCAGAGCGGGACCCGACCAGCTGCCAGCAGCCAGTCTGCCTTGCCAGGCTAAGCATGGATCGCGCCTCCTGAGCCGACCACCCCTCCCGCCCCCCACATCCACTGCTGACTAGTTATCCCCTCCCTTCTCAGCCCCACACCGACCCCGCTCCAGCTCCGGGAGGGAAGGAGGTGCGACCGACCCAGGCGTGCAGGACCATGATCTGAGGGCGGGAGACCTGAAAGTTGGGGGAGATGAGCAACGCAGGTGAGTGCCGGCTCCTGGGGGCCTGATGGGGCTTGGGAAGGGGAGGAGGGTCTGGGGCGGCAAAGGGCTCGCTCCTGGGGAGCGGGGTGGGGGGACTGACCCACGCGGAGCGGGCGCAGTGTCTTCTCTCGCCAACACAAGTTGCTCCGAAGAGAGATTATTACCTCGCCCGCCCTGTCTCGCTAAAGTTGAGCGCAGCTCTTGTGTAACAGGGCTGTGCTCAGCATGGCCACAGGACAGCCAAGGGGGAGAGAGCTGCGCCTTCCCCCACTCCTCTCGCTCGTCTTTGCTTTTGCCCTTCACCCCCATTTCCTTCTTGGTTTTGTTTATTCCCTGGCAAATCAGAAGCACGGACAAGGGGCTTGTGGCGGGGAGACACACATTGGCTTCCACTCCGAAATAATGGCACGGTCCTGGTCTGGTCAAGATGCGGTTTATAAAGGGTGCCTTGGTCCAGTGAAACCTGCAAGACAGTGCGCGGGGCTTCAGGGGCTAGGGGTGGCGGACCAGATCCTACAGTGGGGATGCTGAGAGCCACTGAACCGAACTGTAAACCCTGGATAGCATGGAAACCACTTCAAACCAAGAGGTGCGGCAGCTCCCCTAGTTCCAGCACTAGAAAAGTAGGTGGTTAAGGTGGATTGTATTAATCACTAGAAGGGAGCTGCCTGGCACACACAGAGAGAGCTAAATGCGCTGTAGGTTAGGGGAGGGTGGATGGGTGATGTGAGAAACTCTTTGGCAGGCAGGAAAGTTGACACATCGATGCTGGAGCCCTAAGGGGTGTTTTAGCGCCTTGCTGATTTGGTGGCAACTTGGAGATGCCCAACTTTTCTCCCCCGCCTTGCCCCGTTTGCTCCTCGGCGCGTAGCCGGGCTGGGAGAAGGGAGGAGCGGTGCTTTACTGCAGTGTTTGTTACGCTGTTCCTGTCTGACTGCGGTTTATTTTGCGGTTGACTTTGTGAACAGATTTGCGGTTTGGAGTAACGGGGGGGGGGGCGTTCCTTTCTCTCTCTTCTCCCTCAGCGGCGAAGTGCTGGCTGTCGGGGGCTGGGGGGACTCAGCGCGTGTGAAATAAACGAGACATTTTTAACCTGTAAGATCACAGCATCTTTGCCACAAGCATAGATTTTCCACCTAGATTGCACCTGATGCAAGCAAAGGACGCTCCCGAACTGTGCGCCTCAGAGCAGGCAGATTTTTAGACCCGTCATTTATTGTAACACACGAGTTTTCACCGTCTGTCTCTGGCCATTTCTCCCCTCCATTCTCCAGCCCTGAGTTCCAAAAAGCCAGGTCCTAAAGAGACCCTTACCGGTAGATGGCACACGCCTTATACAGGGGTTTCACCAGGAGGAATCTCTTTGCACAGAGTTAGGGGACAGATTTCAAAATTGCTCAGCTCCCGTTTAGAACGAAGAGGTCAGATTTTGAGACGTGCTCAGGACCTGGGAGCTCCCATTCAGAGCTGAGTGCTGGGTGCTGAGTAGAGCTGGCGAAAAGGGACGTGATTATGGTGAACATTTTGGAAAGACAACTTAAAAGAAAGCAGAATTTCCCCCATTTTTTGACAACACAAATTTTTGTTATTGCGTTTTTCCCTCTATTAGTCTTTTTTTCCCCCCTACTGGGAGAGGGGGCGGAGGAAAAATACTAAACCACAAACTTTTAAAAATAAAAAATGTTTTGTTTTTCATTGAACGATAGGAATGTTTTGGCCAACATGAAAATTTCCCAGGGACCCTTTTGTTTCTGGGACGGGGGGAAGTCAATGAAAAATTGCGATCAGCTCTAGTGCCGAGCTCTTTTGAAAATACAGTGCCACATCCAGTGGTTTGGTGGAGTAGAAATAGGTCCCCTGCCCCAACCCCCAACTCTTCCATTTTGTTTCATTCCCTCAGATGATGAAGGCTATTCAGTGCCCTGCTAGAGATGACGCATCATGGAGCCCAGAGGTTTTCCTGCCATAGTCACACTCACTTTCAGACCCACATGTGTTGGGAACGGTGAATCTGTGTTAACCAAACTAACAGCTCCCTGGACAGGTGGTGGTGGTGGTGGGGGGCGGGGAGGTGTTTCATTCTCTTTGCCCACTCAAAAAGTAACATTTTAATTCTTTTTTCCTAACCTTCCCTGGCCAGCTTGGACTCCTTTCTGCTTTGTGCCAGAGAAGCTCATTCCAAGTTTAGCCATCTGGTAAAGAGTGGCTTTTTGGCATTGGTTTAAAAACTTCATCTTGACACAATTTAATACGCAGGGACTCCAGCCTGATCCCAGTTTCAGAGCAATGTGCACTGTCAGCACTATCAGGCTTATTACTTTATAAGACCGTAAGTTTTATTAGCAATAATTGTTATTTGATCCACAGCAACATAAAGAACGTATCCATCAGTGTGAAGCAACTCTCCATTGAGTTCAGAGGAGAGTTTTGCTTATTAATTGAGGCAAGTCCATGTGTTCCAATATATTATTTATATTACAGCAGCGATTAGTGGACGCAACCAAGATCAGAGTGCCACGGTGCTAGGCACTGTACTATGCATATTAGGACATAGTCTATGCCTCCAAAGAATTTACAATCTTCATAGACAAGGGAGAGAGGAAATATGATTATCCCCATGGGGGAGTTGAGGCAGACCAAGATTAAGTGACTTGGTCACTCAAAAGAGAACTAGATAAATTTATGGAGGTTAAGTCCATTAATGGCTATTAGCCAGGATGGGTAAGGAATGGTGTCCCTAGCCTCTGTTTGTCAGATGGTGCAGATGGATGGCAGGAGAGAGATCACTTGATTACCTGTTAGGTTCACTCCCTCTGGGACACCTGGCATTGGTCACTGTTGGTAGACAGGATACTGGGCTTGATGGACCTTTGGTCTGACCCAGTATGGCCATTCTTATGTTCTTATTCTTATGGTTTGTTCAAGGTCACAGAGGAAGTCCATGGAGGTTCCAAAAATTGGAACCAGCTCGCCTCAGATCCAATCCAATCCAATCCTTAACCACAAGGCTTGATGGACCTTTGGTCTGACCCAGTATGGCCATTCTTATGTTCTTATTCTTATGGTTTGTTCAAGGTCACAGAGGAAGTCCATGGAGGTTCCAAAAATTGGAACCAGCTCGCCTCAGATCCAATCCAATCCTTAACCACAAGACCATCCTTCCTCTAATTATTCAGTGGCTTCGTGGGGGCTGAAATCATGCCACACAAAAGGAAAATTGCAATTAACAAAATCAAAACACTTCCAGTTGTTAAAAAATGTAAACCACCTGGTATCATTTTAAAAATTCTTATCGAATATAATAAATGTGAAACTACTTTAAGAAATCTGCAGGAAGCTACCAGCATACCTGCTCTTTAAACTGAAGCCATATCCTACTGCCATAGACTTTCATGAAACTCTCCTATTGATTTCAATGGGACCTCAGCATGTGAAATGACAGGAGGGTATAAGCTCTCTATTTTTGCAGTCAGGGCTTCCTGTTGGGAAGTAGCTGTAAAACCGTAGCTTTCGTTGAGACACCAGAGCCATTTAGTTATTGGGATATTAAACTAATGGCATATATTAAGTTTTGATCATTTGGATGTTGTACGTATATTTTTTTCTAGATAGCCAGTCTAAGCCCCCAATCCTGCAAATATCTGCAGGTGCATAACTTTTCAACCCATTGAATCAATGATACCACTCACATGAGTAAAGTTTGATACACGATTAAGGACCAGAGCTTTTGGTATTCAAATTAATCATTTCCATTTAAAAGCAGGCTTTCCACTCAATTTGGTACACGTGGACTTTAGGTTGTAGCTTTCCCCAGTAATGCTTCTCTGTAGGATGGTGTCACGGACTCACAGATCGTGCCCACTCTTGGCCCCGTGCGGTCCGTGGGGGGTGCCCCTTTCAGTGAGACAGCCTTTCTCGGGGGTCCACTCTCTCTCGGGGTCAGGCCCCTCCACCTCTCTGAGCCTGAGCACGTCCATCTCTCGCCATGGGCCCCCTCAGGGAGTCCACTCGCTCTGGACCCCTGGGGCCTCCACCCCCCGAAGGGGTTGATGCAACCCTGTTCTCTAGACCGGAGTGACTCTCAGCCAGTGTAAAACAGGAGGGTTTATTGAGCAACTGAACACAGCACAGGAAACTCTCAGGGCCTCAGGCCTGGCCTCCCTCAGCCCAGCACACCCCACTCGATCTGCATCCCAGTGGGCTCTGCCTGCTCCCCCTCTCCAGCCCAGAGGCCCCTCCCCCCACTTCCCAGCTGGGCCTCTGAGATCACCGGCTCCAGGCCCCGCCTCTGTCCATTGTCTTCTCCCCAGGTAAACAGGGTTGTAAACTGGGGCCTCCTCTCCTCTCTTCTGTCCTCTGGCTGGAACCGGCTGGTTAGGTCACTGGGTCCTCACTCTGCAGCCCATTGTCCTCCCATTGGCCAGAACCGGCTGTGACTCCTGCGCTGAGTCTCCGGGTCGTCAGGTCACCAGTCGCTGGGGTATCCATTCTCCAGGCCATCGGCTGTGGTCCCAAGTTCCCTCTCCGGTCCTCTGTAACAACAAACTCCCTCTCCCCTCACCTCATTAAACCAGTAACACCCAGGGAAACTGACTCCCAACCCCACTGCATGCAAACCATTGGAAAACAAGGAAAAAACAAGAAAATCCCCCACTTCATCACAGATGGTATATGACTGTATTATATTTATGAATTGTGGCAATAAAGTTCTAAAGTAAGAGAAAGTTGGAACCTATTGATTTGATATTCCAAAGTCATAAACCATTGATCCTATCTCAGAACAACAGAGTCCAATAACTATTAGAATGCATGTTATCTTTGCAGAGTGGTATCTGCTCTGAAATCCTGGGTACTAACATTCCAGTTAAAAGACAAAATGACATAAGAGAGTTATGGCCTTTTTTTGAAAATTCAGATCTGCCACTTAAATGGGTATTCAGGAGACCTTATTTTAAAAACAGTCAGATAGGGCCTGATCTAAGCCCATTGAAGTCTGCTGA